ACAGTCATTGCTGCTAGAGGGTTCCAAAGCCAAAATGCCGGCTCAGAACTATTTGCATTCTTCAGCTTCACGTGAATGTCTCTTAGGAGCATGCACACTCTAAGAACCACATGTGATTAAAAAGCTGTAGAAGTCCAAAGACCACTCATTGTCAAAGAGCATCAGAAACAGTCACTGTCATTGGCACTGCGTACCCTCCACCACAGGGATGCTCTCAAACGAGGATGACAGCCAACTATTAAGCTTTGAGGTTGGTACCACCATCCAGGGTCTCTGCAAGGGTGGCAGGGATAGTGTTTTCCAGGGACCGAGAGCGGCCCCTCTCCCTTACACAGCATGGGATTTCTCAGACAACAGCCTTGTTCTTCCTTACTTTGATCTGAAATTCTAGGTCAGGGTGAAGCTCTTAGCATCTAGAGAGTTCCCAAGGGACTCCCACATACTCGACTACTTGTTTGGCCCTCTGTAATCAGTTTCTTTAACTGCGAGAGGGGAAAGTAATAATTCATAGCTGCTATGGTTTCAATGTTCCTCCCAAAAAGGATGTGTTGGAAACTTAATGCCCAATGTAGCCACATTGGGAGGTGAGGTCTAATGGGACATGTTTAGGTTATGAGGGTTCCACCCTCATGAATGGATTAATGACGATTATAAAGGGGCTTGAAGCTGAGACTTCACTCTCTTGCTCTCTCTCACCCTCTCTTTGCCTCTCCACCATGCAGTAACACAGGAAGAAGGCCCTTGCCAGATGCAGCCTCTTGACCTTGGACTTCCCAGCCTCCAGAACCATGAGTCAATACATTTCCGTTCATAATAAATTACCCAGTCTACGGTATTTTGTTACAGCAGCACAGAATGGACTAAGACAATAGCATTTACTATCTGCCGGGACATGCTTGATGTTTTACAAATGTTATCTCATTCTGTGTTCAAAACAGCCTTTGAAGTAGGGAACACTCTTAATCCTTATTATTTTACAGACAAAGAAACTGGGGCTTAGAATGGGTAAAGAACACATCCAAAATCACTAAATCTGGAACTTTATAAATGTCACCCCTTATTTTCTCCAGTGCACATCCCCCCTTCCCCATGGCACCCTCAGCCCTCCTGTCAACGTCCCTGGACGCTACTAACGAACGGGGCTCTCCACACTGACATTCACAATCTGCACAACATCTGGTCATCGTCTTACATGAAAATCTGATTGTGTCACTCCTGTGCTTAAAAATTCCATTTTCTTGTTGAGAGCAAATATTTTCTCCCATTCTGTAGGCTGTCTAATGTAACCATAATGTTTGCACCCTCATAATACCCTGAAATAAACAAATATATATATACAGGAAAAAGAAAAAAAATCCCATTTTCTTCCCTTATTTTTAAAATTCAAAATCATCTGCACAACCTTGCAAGCCCCGGCTCCTGCCTGTCTCCCACCCCCGTCTTCCCCACTCTCCCCAACTACACATTGCCGGCTCCCACGGTCCCTCAAACGCATGGAGCTCCTGCTGGCTCTTGAGGGAGTCAGCTTCTGCCCCTGCTTGGAAGTTTCCTGTCATGCTCACTCTCCCGCCCCCTGACTGACTCCAATCATGCTCTGGAGCCTGGTGGAGTCTGTTCTTGGAAGCTGGGACAGGAGGGTGAACCCCTAGCCTCCAGTTCCACACTTTGTACGCTCCATTTTGCACACATGGAACCATACGGTTATTACTTTAATGTCTGGCTCACACACTGGATAATAAGTTCCAAATCCTACCCCCATCTTGCCTTGTTCACTGTTCTTCCCCTCAGCACCCAACACAGTGCTGAGAGGCTGCACAGACAGTATTTGTTGAATGAATGCAGAGTTTACATGTCTGCCTTTTATGAAGTGCCTCTCTTCTTGGCTTCTGACACCACCTTCTTCTGGCCTTCCCCTGTTCCCTTTCTCTGCTGCCCCAACACTCCTCTACCTGTGCGTGCCTATCCCAACAACGTTAATGTTCCATCCTCCACCCTTCTCTTCTCATTCCTGCCCTGAATGATTAATTTCAAATCCATAACTCAATCTCAGGTACTACCCCAGAGCTATAAATTCATCATCAACTACCTGTATGGTATGTCTCCATGCAAAGTCCAAAAAAGACACAAAAAAACTCAGCATATCCAAAACAGAATGCATCACTTTTCTTCACATTCATTTCTCCTCCTTTGCCCTGTGGGACAGTAAATGGTGGTGACAGCCAACTCTAAGACCTGTGTGTTACACCTCCATAAGAATTCTCATCATCCATTTCTCTAAAACTTCACTGCTACTGACCAAGGTTAGGTCACCGTCATCTGCCACAGAGGAGGACAAATGATTTAATGAACAGAGAATATTTCACACACACACATACACACACACACACACATATATATACAAGTATACACTGCTATTGCTAAAGCTAAGGATATACAGCAGAAGGAAGAAGGGTCATAAAAGATGAGGGAGCTGGTGTTCAGGGTATAATAATCCTTGGCAGATGAATGTCTAGGTCTGGAAGAAAACTGTTGTACTTAATGAGACATGAAAAAAATGAGGCAATATAAGGATAAGTTGAAAGAACCTACAACATAGGGCCAGAAGCAAAAGAATCAGGCAGAGAAAGAAACAGCTCCTCGTGGCCAAGGCGATGGCTGCTCTGAAGCAGTGTTCGTGCTCATCTCTGGGCCTTCCTAGAGCAGGGTCCGTAAGTCAGTTAACTAGCCCAGATTGGTCATCTGAGACCAATTTGCAGGTCAGCCACTTACCAGCAATGACATTCCGTAAGCCACTTCACCTCTCTACCATTCAGTTTCTCCTGCAGTAAAAAGGGGAAATAATGCTTTCCTCACAGATCAAATGAGCTGTTTGAGAAACCGTCTGAACTCCCTGGCACTGCTATAAGCTATTATTAGGTCTTAGATTTTGAGGTCCACAGAAACAGGTGGGAAAAAGTCATAGTTCCAGTCCCTAAAGAGTTCGCAATCTTCCCAGAGAATGACAGCTGCCACATGCAAACTTCAGGGGAAAACCCAATGTTAATAAATGCTTAGAAAATACTAGTAGCAAAGGAAATATTAGACTAATTCAGAGAAAGGCGTATTTCCCTCTCTTGGCTCTCACTATGATCCATCCTTCACACTCCTGTCAAATTAATCTTCTCGTGAAGTAAAGATCCAATCATAGAATCATATAATTTTACAACTGAAAGGGGCCTTAGAGGTCACCTACTCCATTTTCCTCATTCCTTGGGTGAAAAAAAACTGAAGCCAAAGAGATTGAGTGGCTTGCCTGTGATTACACAGCTAGTTAATTCACTCAATACTCCATAAATTGTTATCGATCACCTAATAGGTGTCAGGCCTATGCTAGGAGCCACTAATGGCACAAATGACACCCACACCTGGGACTCAGGAATTCTAGACCTCTGCACTTTATTCTAGATTGGTGGTTCTCAAGCTGTAGCCAGGGTGAGAGGAGGCTTGATCCCTAGAAGGAAAGCAACCCAATTATATCCCTGCACCCATTTAAGAATTAATACATGCAATGAGAGAGGTTACAGATGGGAAGGTGTTCCATATGATTGATGGGGTGGCAGAAATTAAAACGTTTGTATTCAGCACTGAAGTAAATGACAGAATGGCAGAATGGTACTATTTTAAAAAATCTGGATGGTAGGTACATGTGTATTCATTTTATTACTCTTTGCACTTTCCTGTGGGT